GGAGTAAGAAGACGGTGATAGCCACATAACCGGGAATTGATTTTCTCTTCATCGTCGATATTTGAAGAAAATTAAAGGTAATTTTTGAAATTCTCTACAAATCAAAATTCATATTTTTACGTGATTTTAAAAGATGCCGATCATTTTATTCGCTATATATACTTACGGATTAAGTATTTATTTGATAAATGATAATTATATTGTATAATTTCCGCTGAGATTTTAATCCGTACAGTATAGCGAACCAAACAGTTGTATCAGAGCTACGGTTTGCATCTTTAAAATTAGATTTTGATTTGTTTATGTTTATGTGATAAACATATTTAAATATTAAATCATATTATTTTGTGTGTGATAAAATTATTTTGTATAGAGACAACATATTTGCCATTGTCCGTTTTTAATAGTTAGCAAGCAGACTTTGCAAATTAGATTTGCAAGTTCAACCATGTTTTTGATTTTTNTTGCATTGCTGTAGAGACAGTAGCTCTTTTATCAATTAAATTCTATCCCAATATGATTGGAATTTGCTAATATCATGATTTAATTGGTGGGGACGCAAATTTGATTTGCAAAGTAAATAAAAAAAAAAAATGAAGTTAGTCGGAGGATGTTGTATGCAGACCCACAGAAACATATTCTTACTTGGCAAGAAGAGAATCGGTTCTCTTATATTAAAAAAAAAATAATAAAAAAAAATAAAAATAAAAATCAGAGATTTAGAATCTCTGTACATGTCCATCTTCTTACTAAAATAATGAAAGAGGTGTTGTGTTTTCATGTGGTGGACATGTTCTGCCAACCCTACATCACTCATAAAGATGGGATTTGCTAGAGTATTATGGTGGTGCAATTATTTGAGCACCACATGATGCATTTAATTAAAAAAAATATTTTATTTAAGTTCAGATTTAAAAGTTAAATCTAAATTAATTAGATGAATAGTTAATATTTATTAATCCCAAAATTAAATCAACACACAAAATTTGATAAATTTATATACTTTTAGTTCATGTGATGAATGTTTTTAGCATATTTATTTAGGGATGATCATGAGCCTTTTATTCAATGTGATTGAATGTTTGTAATTTATCGAGACCTGCGAGTCTCTTATTCAATAATTTGTATAATTTTAAATTATTGCAGAGAGTAGATTAGTTCAGGTTGAAGACCGTTCAATCCAAAAGACCCACACTTGTGTGGGTAATTTTACAAGTTGTAAATTTTGAAGGCCTGTGCTTGTACGGGTTGATAAAATAAAATGTAATAGAAGTAGTTCTATTTATTTTATCCCGTATATAGGCATAGACCCATTTTGGCTCGAATGGGTCGTATAGGCATGGCCGTGATCATCCCATCGCTTTATGCATTAGATGCATGTTAGATTTATTTAATGCTTGTTGCTTGCGTTTCATATGATGAATGTTGCATTAAATAAACCCACATATTAATTTAAGTTGATGAGGTCTTAAAATAAACCCTTAGTTTTTGAAACTATTAAGGAATTTAATTCGATTAATTCCATATCAAATTATAATGGATAAAAATGGGTTGGACCTATTAATCCATGCCTTCCATCAAAAGTAGATGACATGACGATGCTACGGTGCTTAGTCACTGACCATGAGTCGTGGGGTTGCTTTGTGGCGAAAGCTGTGATCTCTACTAAGCATTGAGATGCTCGTGAAATGGATTCGTCTTTGTGTTGGCCACGAGTCGTGGGACACCCTGATGCGCCATTACGAATGTTTGATGGGTTTAATTTGACACTTAGTACTAGATACGGTCATAAAATTGGGGTATATAAGAAAAGTGAGGCAAAATAAACTTGAAGGTTGTATAGTGATATAATTGTAAAAAATGTTGACTACCAATATGAATATTTCATGTGTACTCATAAAATTGGGATATGGAATATTTTTATTGGGCTTCAAGCCCACTATGAAAATTTGATTTTCAAAATTTTATGGGGTTTAATTAAAATAGTGGGACACATTTAATATCAAAGACCTTATATTAAATGAATATATTTTCCATAGTCTACTTATTTTTTGCTTCGTTTATTTTGGTAGATCATTCTACTAAAACGGTTAAAAATCCAATTGCATGTATTCTTGAGCAAAACAAATTGACTGATCACGAGTGTTTCCATTGTGACAAATTAAGGCACTAAAAGAGGAATTGTAAGAAACATCTTGCAAGCCTGAAGAGTTCAAGTGTTTATTTTGTTGAAATTAACTTATCAGTCAATGATACTTCTTGGGTATTAGATACCGACTATGGCTCACATATTTGCAATGATTTGCAAATGATGGCAATAAGTAGAAGCTGGACAATAAGGAAACAGTTCTTAGGATGGGCAATGGAACAAGAGTTGTTGCATTTGCTAAAGGGACTGTTTACCTAGCTTTAAATAATGGTGTAAGTTTGTTATTGAGAGTGGAAGTTGTTCCATTTTCAAAAATACCGATATTATATATTTCGGTATTTTAACAAATAGTTTATATACTGTTACACCTCAAAGTCCCATCCTAACTATTCAACAAAATAAAAGAAAGTTAGATAATCATAGTTCGTTTACACTTTGGCATGCTAGATTGAGATATATATCTGGAAAGAGGATTCACAAATTGGGACCAAAACTCAACCTTAGGGGAGAGGATAAGTTGCCTACATGTGAGTCATGTCTTAAAGAAAAAATAACAAAATCACCATTTGTTGGACAAATGAAGCGAGCTAAAGGTCTATTGAATTTAATTCATACAGATGTTTGTGAACCACTAATTGTTAGTGCTAGAAGGAACTATCACTACTTTATAACCTTTACTGATGATTTATCTAGGTATGATTATGTATACTTTTTAAGGTATAAATCCGAAGCTTTTGAAAAGTTCAAAGAATTTATATGACAGGTGGAGAAACAAAGTGATCGTAATATTAAAATTCTTCGATTAAATCGAAGAGGTGAATATTTGACTACTGAGTTTCTCGATTATCTATAGGAGAATATGATTCTCTCATAGTGGACTTCTCCTGGTACTCCACATCTTAATGGAGTTTCAGAAAGGAGGAATCGTACCTTGTTAGACACGGTTCGATCAATGATGAGTTCCACTACTTTACCTCTTTTATTCTGGGGCTATGCCTTAGAAACGAAGACATATCTATTGAATAAGATGTCAAGTAAAGTCGTGCCTAACACACCTTACTTATACATACCAGTACTGTGATATCATTATTATTATTGTTGTTTACTTTAGCATAGGTTTTTATGGAGTACAAGAAGACCAGTACTCACCCCCATTATGTTTTTCAGATGACAGGGTCGGCGGGCAGGCGTGAGTCCAGCTGTGGTGGTCGTGGTCGTGGATTGGGCACAGGTAGCCGATTCGTGGACATTTGTTTACTCTGTTTTGTATAACTATTATGCCATGCATTTTAAGACTTCCGCTACATTTATTTTCTGTTCGAACTTGCATGACAGTACTTTTCAGACTTAAATAATCTACCCAGTTCGCCAGTGCGAACGGGACCAGTTTAATATGCATGTTCGATAAAAGATTTAAATCTGTTTTCTTAAAGTCTAAACTAGTAGTTAGACCCAATTTAAAAGAGAATGGATTTTAAAGCAGATAAGTTTTTAGCAGCATCCCGAGTTAGTTTGCAAATGATTTCAAAAATTTATAAGCGTTTTCGAAGGTAGAATTTACGAAAAATTGGCCCTAAGTAGCGGGGTGTTGCATGAAAGGTCTAAATTGCCCTGGTCGATTCCTCTCCCCTTACTGCTGAGTCATGACAAGATTCCTTCTTATCCATTTGAGGATAAGAGACTTTAAGAGATACCACAGGTATATCGAGTCGTCAGTGTGTTTCGCGCCTCGAGGCACAAGGAGTCGATCCCGAGTACCAGGAGGTCGACTTGGGATTTTCTGCATATTCGGAGGCTACGCTTGTTGGTCTTCTTAAATAGAAGTCGACTACATTAAGTCGACTTCTGCAAGTCGACTTGTATAACATCTGCCACTTCTCGTTATCCATCTTGTGAAGAGTCTACTTTGAGGAAGTCGACTTGAGTATGTCTACGGGTTCATGTCGTCATGGGAGTGGTTTGAGCAATTCCCCGGTCGAGTAGGGAGCCTTTGGACCGGAGTATCCTTATATGGCTATATCAGAAATCAATTATGAATCTCCGAAAAATTTAAGCCAAATAAGTCAAAAGTTTGAAAAGGTGTGATTTCTAAAGTACTACGTAGAGATTTTTTTAATTTCAAATTGAACCAGATCTTTCATTAATTTCAAATTTAACCAATTTTTTCATTTTAGGAAGTTTATATCTAAAAACACGTGTGTATAACTAAAAAATGTGTGCATTAGTATTTTTGAATTTCAGATGCAGACAGTTTGATATATATCAAATTTTGAAGTCGATATTTTGAAATTTTATGTTGAACAAAATCCTTAATTAAGGTATGAATGGAAAAACCGTCCAAAATGGTTGGAAAAATCGGTCCGAAATTTTGGAAAATATTTATATCTAGAAAACGTGTGCATTGGTGTTTTTAAATATTGAAATGCATACGATTTGATGTACACCGGATTTTGAAGTCAATATTTTCAAATTTAAGTTAAAAAAAATCCTTTATTTAAGGAATGGTTGGAAAATCCGTCCAAAATGGTTGGAAAAATCGGTCCAAAATTTTTGAAAAATATTTATATCTAAAAAACATGTGTATTGGTGTTTTTGAATTTTGAAATGCATACAATTTGATATACACCGAACTTTGAAGTCAATATTTTAACATAAATTATTGACTTAATTATTTCACTTCGTGAATTATTAAAATGACTTCCTTAACTTAAATAATTAACTTCTCTAATTATTTTCTCTTAATTTCTAAGCTCGACTAACGTCTCGAATAAAATATCTCAAGGCTTGATTAAGGCTCGGAACTAAGTTTTATATAACTAAAAGGCCCGACTAAGGCTCGACTACAAAATAATTAAGGCTTCGTTAAAAAATGTGTCATCGGGCACGACAGGATTGCTGCGGCTGCAGCTGGGCCGACTGGTGGCTCGCTGGGCCTAATATGGGGTGGCTGGGCGCCACTTGATCGTCCTACAACGAACTGGGCGTGACTAGCAGGCTGTGGGCCGCGAGAAAGGAATTGGGTCGGAGCTGGGAGATGGGTCGCTATTGGGGAGGACGTTCGGGCTTCACTGGGCCCACACGCAGGCTGCACTAGGTGGAGACGCGGGCTGGAGATGGGTTGGACGCGGGCTTCAACTGTGAGGCGAGTGGGCTGACTCGGGCTGACGCGAGCCAGACGCGGGCTGCAAAAAGGGCTGCGGAAACTGGGCCTCACACAATTGGGCTCCTTTGCAGGGCTTCTCTCCTTGGCTGCGGATGTTGATTGCTAGGATGGACGCCTGGGCTTCTTCGCGCTGGGCTTCTCTCCTAGGCTGCTTTCACGCTAGGCCGCGAGCTGAGGAGGGACGCACAGCTGTTGGCCCGAACTAGGTTGATCTGGGACCGAGCGCTGGAGCAGAGGCTGGGAGTAGCAACACTGGTGGCCGTTTTTAGCGACGTTCGACTTTTCTGCAACCGGGATTCAAAACTCGCCTTAATTTACAAAAAATATAATTTTTCAGGGGCTCGAGAATTTACCAAAAAAGGGGTTTGGCTCATAAAACGAAATGACAGCTCAAGGCACGACTAGCGTCAGATTTCCGAAGTAAGTTCAGCCCCTAAATTCAAACGATAGACTCGGCATGGAAAAAAAAGCTTGGATTTTCACTTTGGCTTGAAACACAAAATAAAGGCTCGACTAACTAAGAACAACGAACAACATAACATGAATTATAATCGATTTTTCTAAATTTAAGACTTAGATTCAACTAACTGTTGGGTTCTATTAGCAACGTCACCGATATACACATTTGAATCTATCGAAATAAATCCTCACGCAGCGGAATCAATAGTTAGGATTAAGACATTACCGTTTAAAAGATTTTCCGACTCTAAGACGTTTCTAATTTCCTCTGTAGGAGATCATATGAACTGCAGAGTCCATTGGGCAGCCGAACTTGGCCTCCTCAGTCGAATTGGGTCGCCGGGGACTTTGGTGCATGTTGGGTCAGTCCGAGTGCAAGTCGGGTGGTTGCGGGTGTTGTGGGTCGGGCGCTGACGCTGGTTTTGTTCGTTTGTAGGGTCGAGGCTCGCGGACTAGACACGTCGAGCACTGTGCGAACAACGTCGTCTGCGTGCGTGGGTCACTGCTAACGGGCGCGCTGGGGCGTGCGGGCAAATGTGCACTGGCGGTGCCGGAGGCTTCGGGCGCGTGCACTGTAGGAATCCTAAGCCTGCGACTTGGACACGCAAGAGGACTTCGGGCGATCTAGTGTGCGGCGTGCAGATGGGCGACGCTGGGAGGTCGCTGGGACTGTGTCTAGGTGACACGGCCGGTGGCGATTTCCGGTGGTGGTTGACGGCAGCGATGGGCGTTCTCCCGCGGCTGGGGCGGTGGCTTAAGTCACCAAATTTAATGAAAATAAAAGGCTCGAATGAATTGTACTCTAAAACCTTCTAATGTATTACCTAAACACCTACTCTGAATAATCTCAGTGGCGATTTTCCAAAACTCCCAAACTCTCGATATATTTATGATGCTCGATTTTACACTCTTATGAAGACCTTAAAATCGACTCACAATGCACAGGGGAAGAGTTTGGGACATGGTGTATGTATAGGCTACATTAGGGACTTTAAAGATGTGCTAAATATGAGTTTATCCTTTTATGTCAAGGAAACCTAATTATCTTCCATCTCCTTTCCCTTCTAAAAGCCTTATTCATTCTAATCCTAATTACCTTCTGGAAGACTTCATAGTCTCCTAACTTAGGTTATATTCTAGAAGAAATATATTCGTCTTCTTAGGAAATTAAATAATATAAAATAATCTATATATATATATATATATATATATAATTGTAGGCTATCCAATTAATGAGATAGCCTACATTTTCCCGCCCATAAATTTTCAGCTATATAAGACAATTGTTTTCACTTAATTCTCTATAAGATTTTTGTTTTCCGGCCCAAATGAATTGTGCTACATGAGGTAAGTATTTTTCACTTATTCTACAATCCGTAGTATTTATAATATTTAAGTAAATAATTTTTGTGACTTCTAAAATAATGACGTGTCATGATTTTTTTTTCCAAACGGCATAATTTAATAAATAGAATACATATTTACAATTAGATGACAACCGGTAATAGCCGGAATGAGCAGCTACACAGCTGAAATCCTTGGGAGGACAACCTGAATGACAGCCTATACGAATACACACAACACACTCACAAGCTCCCAATAGGATAATTCAGCTCCCAAAAAGAGAATACACGTGGCATGATTCTATTGATTACACATTTGAAATTTAATTTTCAAATGTTTAAATCTTATAACAATATATATTTGCAGGAAAAAATGTATTTACAAACTAACTTATTATTATATTTTTTCTTTTTCTTTTTTTTTTCGTGACGTAGAAAACTCCAATAATTGATTTTTTTCAGTTACAATTTTTTTAGACATCAATATTAATTAATATAAAAATAATCCACCCATATATCTTCCATAAATAAATAACGTAATATTAGTGTCAGTTGACTTATACGCACCCATATAAATTAGAGTCAGTTTGACCTAAATTAAATTTATAGCTATCGTCTCAAATTTTATTTTATATTTTCAAATGGAAAGCCAATTTCATTTTCACTCCTATAAATATGAGTTCTAAATGCAGAGTCCTACAAATTTAAAAAAAAACATACAATAATAAAAAGCCCTAAACGCATATTTGTTTACATATATTAAAAAAATAAAAAATAAGTTGAATATCCTTAGAAATCTATAGATATGTTGCTATTTTTGTCTATTATATCGCAAAACACCCTATTTTTTTCAAAACAAATTTTGTATAAAAGTAAATAAATAAATGCCTTCATTTGAAACATATTCTATTGTTCTTATAGTAAAATTGTTAAAACAAGTTATAAAAACATAAAAAAAATCAAAAAATTGTTTGAACACCACAGTTGTACAGGGTTTCTATTGTTTAAAACTCTCGGCAGCAGCATAAAAAATTCATAAAATTATTTGAACACCACACCTGTATTGTGTTTCTGTTGTTTAGAACTCGGTAACAGCAAAAAAATAAAAAATAAAAAATAAAAGTAAGCCGAAATTTACAAAGATGTATCGACAGATTTCACTGGTTTTCTACATTTTAGAAACTTGTAGCCAGAAATCATGTTGAAATTTTGTCTAGATCGATTCCTTTTTTGAATACTAAACCATTAGGGTTTATTTGTACATAGATCTAGCTTCGACGTGGATAAATTAAAAGCATGTCTACGGCGGCTAAATAAAATCAGAATCAATCCGAGTGTTTGTTTCCGATGAGAGAAAAAAAATTAAAAGTGAAGAAGAAACGACGAAAATGTTGCAGGTAGTAGGGTTTCAGGCATTAAATACCTTCCTCTACCACATTCTTGAATGTTCTATATTTGTGTGGTGGATAAAGCTTTGACCGTGCTATATGGGTCCGTGCATTTGGGTTATGTTTAATTTGGCCCAGTTTTGGGCCTGAAATTTAAAAAAATCTTATTGTTTGATTTTGTTTGGACTTTGCTAATAAAACAATGGGCTGCGAAACTTATTTCCTGTTTAGGCTTAANAAAAAAAAAAAAAAAATGGGCTGCAGCTTTATTTAAAACATTCTCTTACTAAACTTTTTTATTCAACTACATTAAGAAATCAAATTGGGCATCGAAAAACCACGAATGTTATATATAAAGAAGTGTTTAATTATTTTTAGATTTTCTTTCTTAAAATATTTTTTCCTATGATTATGTTATGTTTTTACTATAGTTTATATTTTTTATTTCTTTTTATTTTTTATCATATAGCTTTCCGTGCAAATGCATGGGTACAACTAGTTAATTCATAATTTCTTAATAGAATTAAATAATAAAACATTCCACTAGAGTAAATATTATTGTTCCCCCATTTAGCTATTTATTCAATAAATTCGAACCTCCACTTGATTAATAAATATTAATCTAATTGATCAATTTACCATCTCTATGTTTAAGATATAACGTCCGTTGATTAATTACATACTGAAAAAAATATTTTAATCAACTTCTTATTCATTTTCGAAATTAATACCACTCAGATCCTTAATCATTATGTCGGATACTCATCCGCCTGCAGGCTTGACATAATATTCATTCCTGAGCTTATTTTAGGGACGTCATCAACCCAGCACACTGGGACGTAGTAATCGTAAATAATTTATAACATCACATCATATAAACATCATCATTTACAAAATACCGAGTATGTCATCCTAGTAAAATAGGAACCACCCTTAGTAAATCAAATAAACAAGTAATGAATATATATGCCCATTTTATATTATCCTACAGTTTAAGAGTACGCATCAATTACTGAAGGTCTAGATTATAACTGCGATCAGTAAATCTTATAATTTTATCCTTTCGCAGTCTATTCAATACTTATCATAAGTACTAGTGTAATACATCAGTCAAATCCCGATTGGATCAAGACTACACTGCAGTCTTTTTCCAACAGTGGTGTCAATGCATGTCTAAACTGTGAACAAGTAGTCTATCTTACAAGGAATCGAGATATTGTCTTTCTGTTCGACACATCGAACCATGCTATCTACAATATAAGATAATGAGTTATGATTGCATAAATAAATAAACTGCAAACATAAGTACTTTGACTAAAACATGATTGCCAGATCAAAATGGAATTGTCAATATATGAAAGTCAAGCTTTTACAACATATTCTAACAATAACATGAAAACATGAACTTATAATCAAACTTTTTCTAAAAGTTTCGAGGGTTTACCGTTCGTCGGTCGAAGGAGAAGAATCGGGCCAGAAAACGTTGATTTTTGGTCATCGAAACTTATTTCATCTCAGCCACATGAAGCTTGTCTCAGCCGCGCAAGAGTCCTCATCTCTGCCATGGAAAAGCGCCGCTCCTGTTGCCGGAAGAAGCCTCGCCCGTTGCCGGACGTGCTCGGCAGCCTGCTCAGGTACGCGCTGCGTGTTCTCGCTGCTCCAGCCGCGGGGTTCTGTTTCGGTCAGGGGTGCTAGTCTTGCCGGAACCTGGTGCTCTCAGTCTGATGCCCTAAGTGATCTCGGTTTCGCCAGTGAAACTTCGGCTGGAAAAATATAATTAAACTTGGGAAAGGAAAGTGAATCTAGACACTTGGGTTGTTCCTATTTTTGAAAGTAAAGGAGAAGATTTTTGCAACTCCTTTCTTGGAAACCGAGAGAAGTTATGGGAGATTAAGGCATGATTTATGGAGCTGCAACGGCTAAATAATTTGGGAAGAGATATGGAGAACCTAATTTATGGGGGATAAATAAGGGAGGATGCGGATCTTTGGGGAGAGATGGAGGGTTGACCGGCTCTTATAAGAGATGGAGGGTTCACCAACATTTAATGTTGCCTGATTTTTTGTAAAAAATAAAAAAATAAAAAAAAATAACTAACAAATACCACAATCTATGGGCAGCATTTAATGTTGCCCGATTTTTTTTTTTTTAAGGAAATAAGTTACTATGAATGACATGTAATTAATGTTGACTGGGGTTTGATCAATATTTGACTTACTATTGTTTAAAAAAAGATTCGTAGAATCTTATTATATATATATATACATGATGCTAGAAGAAATTATTTACTTATATTTTTTTATTTTTAGCATTAATTTTTTAAATCCACGAGGGATAAACATACCAATTACTATTTTAGATTATTTTATACTAAACATATTTTAATATGAATATGTTTATATTTTATCATATCAATAAGAAATCAAGTGATTTGTTATTAATGTCGATAAATAAGATTATATTGTAATATTATGATAAATATCATAATAAAATTTCCGTATCTGATTTTCATTTTTTATTGTATAATTATATTAGAAACTTTATCATGCATATTCGAATGATATTTTCTACATGAAAAAAATAATAAAAAATCTATGTAATAGTCACTTTTTTGAAGACGTTGTAGAAATTCACGGAATATGGTTTTGTAACTAAAAAAATAAGAAATTACATTGACTCGTAATTAGTATTAAGAAGCATATTTTTATTGTGATAAATAACTTTCAGAATTGATACCACTTTATTTATATAGAAAGTCATGTTATTAACCGAATTGTATGATTTGCGATATATAGGTATAATTTAATTTTTTTATTTTTCAAAAACATTAAAGTATTTTTGATATATTTCCTTTAATAGTAAGTCAACTTATTTAATTTTTTCTTACCCGAAAAGATAGAGAATATTATAAATGAAAACGCACAATGTGCAAAGATACAACCCCTAGTTGAATAGTACAATCAAAAGCTGAAGAAACTGGGAGGACAGGTCAGAAGACCGCCTATAACCGATACTAGCAATGCTAGAAACCAAAAAGCAATACTCATGACACTACAGACATGACAAACACTAAAAGAAACTACAGAGCTCCCAAAAGGAGAATAGAGACGATCCCAAAGGGATAATGTCTGCTTTTCACTCGTGCTGAACAGAGGCTAAAAGCCCAAACCAAAAACACTGTCCTACCACACAAAACAAAGAAAACAACACAGAAACAAAACAACAAATGACATGAGCCCTTCCACAGTAGATCAACCGAGCCGAACCAATAGGGAAACAATCGATTACAAGAAAGATCTTGTAACGCCCCACTTTATTTTGAAAGATTTGTCGAACTTATAAAAAATCATAGTAAATTTTTCGCAAATCTTAATTTAAATTT